ACACTATCTTTGTCGTATTGGTCATTTAAACAAAGATCTGATGTTTACAACAAAGAAAATAGTCGTCAGATATATCGAATATCGAAATATCGAAGCGACCGTTGCCCATAGACGCTATTGCAAATGCGTTGCCTACCTTTAACCGACGGAACAGGGGATGCAGAAGCAAATAATATTTTCCCTTCCCATGTATCCCCTCATCCGGAAAATCTACTTCCACTTCCCATACTTTACTCATAAGAAAAATGGTAGGAAGGGAAAGAAGACTACAATTAAGATAAAAAAGTTACTAAAAAAGATATAACGTGAAAAGTTGGCCATGCTGTTTGCTCTATTACTAATATAGTCGTAATTTTGTAGTTAACCATGATGTAACTCCCTATATTATCTTTTTGTACTCAGTAACCTTTGTATATTTCGCAGTGGACACACAGAGTAACAAGTCAGTCGCCACAAAGCCCCCTCTGAAGTCACCGAACGCCCCCACCGCGCCCCACAGCCAGCCAAAACGTGAGTAATCATTATACCATTGTTTTGGCTACACGTATGCACATAACATTTAAAAGGTTACAACCAAAGTGAACTATACACTTGAACAATCGCAAAAAATGCAAATCATGAAAGAAATTATTTTACTTATTTTTATATGTGTTGTTAGGCTCCTTACTTGGTAAGATTTAAGCGGATTTCAATAAAATAATTTTACCAGTAACTTTCACCAAAGATTCTTGAGGTTCTTGAGAACAAGAGTGAAAGATTACTGTATTTAATATAATGGTATCTTGTCATGAACCGATAATGAACAATCACCCTTAGCAACAGTTCGTGTTTCTGTAATACGAAACTCAGTAAGGACCGGACGGCTCACAGTATAGGCGTTGTCAGCTCCAAATGGTGTCAAAGTATAATTGAATTTAACACTAAATTGACCTAACTAGTTTAACGGGGTCGTCTGATCACACGTAAACAGTTTTTAGATTATATAGATTATAAGGCAGTTAACTTCTTGAGTCGATATTATCTTTGTCTTCTTTACACCTTTATTAAGTCTTTATAGAATCGCGGAAATTATTTTTTGTAATAAACTTAACCAAAGAACCAATTTAAAAAATTCTTTCTCTCACTGGAAGCTATTTTTTTCGGCGAGTAACCATGCTCTATTTATTTTTCTATCGACTTTACTTATACTCATATATTCCAAGATTCCTTGTAATTCGCATAAAAGACTTATTTAATGATACGGCGTAGTTTTTAGTTGTATTTAAGAGTAGTAGTTACTATCAGGTAAACGCTCGTTTACCTCTTATCCCTAACAAAAAGCTTATTAGTAAGTCGAACTCGTTATCCAATTAGGAAAAACCGTTTGATCGTACCACTTTATTAGCTTGACCTAATTGTGAGGGCCACTCTATCAATGGAATTAAAACCTATACAGTCGCACTCCAGAATAGTTTTATATTAACTTAAGCAACCTTAACAATTAATAAAGTACTTAGTAAGCTTTAAACGTCTCTGGGTACGGTTACTACGATGTGATAACATGTTAAGCGATGATTTTAGTCAAAGTCATTATAGTCAAAGGTGGAAAACGAGTAAGCCACCTTTATTCGCCAAATTAGCGAAGTGAGCACTGCGCATCGAGACCCGAATTTTCAGATGGTTTTCTATTATTTTGGCATTTCTAGAAGAAATTATGACATAGTAATTAATATTCTTAGGAAGAAAATCCGACACTGTGCCGGTGTATCGGCGCAACACTAGCCTTATTAAAATAGCAACGTTAATGTCCCCTCTCTAATCAAACTGACACTTGACTTGGTAACGAAAGCGCGCCATTCGCGCCAAAGGATTCTAACTAATAATGTCTATAACTAATGATCATTACAAATGCATCCTTTATTAATCAATCCTAAACTTTAGTTAACATAACCTTGAATTCAACTGAGATGAGTGCAGATTTTATTTTGTTTCCATTCGGCTAATTTTGGATCTTCGTAAATTATTAGCAAACATAAAACTTCGCGAATAGCGTTAAACAGTAAACAAGAAAATAAAAAATACAAAACGGACTGCCAAGATTTTGAATCGAATTATTCTAAAGTGAAATAAACGTCACAGAATTATATGATAATCGAATATGTGTGTGGTTATTTTAATATTAGCAAGTAAAATTGTTCGGTACACGATACGATGACCTCGTTTCTTTGTACCCTTTAGATCGTCCAGAATATATAAATTTGAATAACGTATTTCATATAAAATAATATCTTATTATTTTTACAATATTTATGAACATTGTAAAAATAATAAGGTCACACAGGTAACATTAGACAGGTTATTCATCGAAATTTAGATGTTAACTTTGAAGAACTATCCCTAATATGTATAAATGCGAAAGTTCAGATGGGTGAATGGATAGATCTTTGTTAATAGGTAACGGCGAAACTAAAGGATCTCGATGAAATTTGGAATACATTTAGAACACAGTCTGGAAGAATACATAGGCTAATGTTTAAGTTTTTTTTGTAATTTCGCGCGGACAGAGTCGCGGTCAACAGCTACTCTATCATAAATGCGGTGCTAGATAGTAATAGACCATGACTCAGACTGTGTGTTTGCTCTATTTGCTGTTTATTTACAGACATTTTGATGCATATAAAAGTAGGTTATTTATCTGTTCGTAATGTATAATACAACCGTACAATAATGAGAAATATATTGTTTTATGTTTTCCAGATAATCTTGTATTAAATATGTATACGTCAGCTTTGACAATGTTGTGTTTAGATCTTGTTCAAAGAGAGCGTAAAGAGAGATATAAGGTAGATTTAGCTACAAACCAGTAATAAATTTAAACAATATGAGCTACAATATTTTATAAACATCGACAAATGGATGTTATTTTTGGGTATATGTATCTATGCCAAGTTGTCTAAAGTATTTTATGTGTTAGACAGGATTTCGTTTAGTAAACTCTTGCAATCGCATGATTCTCTTTGTTGTATTGTGATATGAAACGTTGTTTGAATCGTCACAAACGAACCAGATGCATACGGTATAATTAGCTTTCCCTCACAGCATCAATAAACATGCGATACGTGTGTATGTGGGTTAATGAAAAAATACGAACAGTTACAGTCCCGCAATCGTCACGTTCACCTTATAACCCTTTGAATGGATGCCAAAAAAATACAGCATCGGCGCTATCCGCGGCCGCTTTGGCACAGTAGCCCGGATCTATGCGGCGATTATGTCATGCGTTACAATTCCGACCATCCGTTTATACCCGTATTTCAACAGTCCTCCCCCAAAACTAATATCATTAGCTTTATTGTTACGTAGAAAGCGACGCGGCGCGGTGAATGTGAGTCGAGAATCTCGCGATATTTCTGGAAGGTCACCCCTGCATGTTGATTTGTGTGTTACAACAAACTCACACACACACATGCAATGCCACACACTTTAATGCATTTTTAATGCGGGATGAATTTAGATGCATATAAAGGGATACGTTTAAACAATATGATCATAACGTGTATCATATCCAGGTTTAAACTTGCTTTGTAGATGAAAAATTTGACCTATAATTTTTTCGACTTTTATTATTTTTGTATAATACCAACATCTACTTTAAAACCAGTCAAAGAATATTACTAGTAAAAAGTAAAAGACTATTTAGATGTTAAAAAAACTGTGTGACATCATCGTTGTCACGTTTTCGCATAAAATTTCCTTGCCCGCTGTAAGAACGCTAACGTAAAAACACATTATATCATCGCAAATGCTTGAGAAAATAGCTGCAAGATTATATTGGCAGACGTTTCCTGTGAACAAATGTGCTTCCTCGCTTACTAATATTATGTAGGTACAATATTCATAAATAAGCCATCAACAACATAAATAGTCTGTCTATGGCGCTAAGTTGGTTTAACTTGGAATTTTTGTTTGAATTTTATGTTGTATACATAAAAACTATGGAATGCCTCTTTATCAACTCTAATAGAGTTAGATTAAAGACAATTTGTCGAGTTGAATGTTATGTAAATAGTTATTTGTTTCTATTTTAAGAGATTTCAAATTATTTACTAGTAGGATAATTTATAACCATTTTAATGATGTTTATTCAAAATATTTAAATTTACTAGAAATTGTTCAATATTCATTTTTTAGGAAAGACCATGAATTTCCATGATCTAGAGGTGACTATAAATATTCATCTAGTTTAGTCTGAATACACATGTGATTGGCTCCATGCTGTGCTACTGGAAGTGGTCAATCAGACTAGATGACCTGCAAGTCTAGATAGAACGGGACTAGTTAGACTACATTAGATCTATTCTAGTAACGCACACTGTATGGCATCCTACATCTTTTAATCTATTGGAAGTATTAGCTTTTATGGTCACAATTATAAAAGAAACCAGCATATCAAAGTATTACTGCCAAACTTTTAACTTAATATTCTTTTGCATTCACAAAGATAAATATTATTATTTTCCAAATGGTTTCATATTAGGAAACCCGTTTGACCAAATAAGAAATCAATGAGACTTAATTTGACCTGAATTCTAAACAAATTAAATGTTATAGTAAAGTGGCTGAGTAAAATGAAACAGTATAATTTCCACAAAACTTACTTAGAAAATAAGTAATCTGTTGCTAATAAATAGATAAGATTTTTGTTTTTTTTTAATAATATTCATCTTATAAAATGGGTTTTTAAGATATTTTATTTAATATTTAAAAATATAAATTTTTAAGAATAATCCAATAAAAATATGCCAATGATAATCAAATTAAATAACATTTTAAAATTTGATACACGCCTGTTCCAACTCCAAATCGGTTTAACGGCTATTGTGTTTTAAGTTCCATTCCGTTATACACCCCCAGTATGGAATAGCGGTGCGTATGCAATATTAATTAGCAATAACCAATTTACGCAGCGTCGACTGATAATATAGACGGTCGTTAGTGCGTTGCGGCCGGTAGCATGGAGTCCCCCCGTGGCCGAGCGGCGCGCGCGCACCACTCGTGTACACGTCTCCGCGTAAAAATAAAGTCCGCGCCGAGCGCTCGCGTACTTCAACCCATTTATAATTATTAGTAAATCGAAGCTCGAGAGCACGACTGCCGTCGCCGCCGGCCGCTCGCGAAAAACATTAAAACATTCGGAAACATTGTGCCAGTGCTCGGCGTCCTGCCGCAAGCCCTTGCTCGCTTTAACTAGACAACGTCACAAAATCCCTAACACCGACGCTCGCTCAAACCGTATTATCGAATCCGCGACTCCTACGTAATAGATACCGGTATCTTAGAACGCTGAAACAGACTGACTTAATGTTGATGTGTGTGGTGTGTTTGTGATTATTTTATATCAGTGATAACAGTGCAGTGAAATTTAAACAAATATGCCTGAAAGACCTAAAAGGCGTAAAAATAATAAAAACAAACGTAAAAATAAAAACTTTCGCGCCGATCCAAGTGTAAGCAATAGTCGTTCAAATGATGATGGTGACACGCAGTCTCTTGAAAACAAAGATGTACAGAAATGTGAAACTGATTCTATTGTAGAGGAAAAAATAGTGATAGATAATTTATCAGAAAGTGTTTCAATAAGTACCTCTAATAATTTTGAAAATGTTCAAATTGTAGAAGAAAGTTGTAAAACTGATACTAACGTACAGGATCAAGAAATTTCGGATAACTTATCAGAAAAGACTTCAACATGTGATACTATTGGTCAGGTTGAAAAAAATGTAGAAGAGAAATGTGAAAACAATTCTATTGTACAGATAAAAGATATCGCAGACAATTTATCACAAAAGACAAGTACGACTGACGATGTTGATAAAGTCTTTAAAAATTGTACTAATGGTGATAATAATATTAAAGTAAGTATCGAACCTGCTAAGTTGTTTTTAAAAGGTGATAACAACTCTGCTATACTATGCGATACAGTCGAAGGCACGCTCAATAATGCTATAATTTCTAACACCTATGTTGTGGAATCTCCTGATCAATCAAATAAAAAGAAATCAAAATTATCAAGCAGTAAAAAGAGCAAAAGTGTTGATGATGATGAATCTCCAAAAATCACTGAGATAACAGATGAAACGCCTTCAGCATTAGATCCAGAAAATACAATAAGTTCTACTGAAAATTCTGGTTTAGTAGTTGATATAGATTCAGATGTAGAATGGGAAAATACAGTAGACTTAGAAGAACATAAATTACCAAAAATTGAAGAACTTGTTACCGGTACCTTGACTGTTACAACGATGCCTCTCACAGTAGCTCATTGTGAGCAAGCCAAGTTGTTGAGCCCTGAAGAAGAACAGTCCCTTCGACGTTATTTACAAACCTTAAATTTAGCAACTAGTCCATCTACTTCCTTAGAAATTAAAACAGAAATTGAACAAATTATCAACAGTGAAATAAAACATCGGTTAAGAAAAAAAGGTTTTGCAGATGATGTTTTATCGCAAAGACTCTGCCCACCAAGAACTTTAGATGTAATTGATGAAGAAGGTAGTGGCGATTCTTCCATTCAATCAAGAAGGCACTCTTACTTGAGTGACAAAAAAAGTGATATTGATGACTTAGAAGATGACGTTTTTGAAAAACCTGGCCATCAATCAGCATTGAAGAAAAAATATGATACTCACTGGAATAATAAGTTAAAGGAAAAATCTTCTACGAGACAAATACCACAGACATGTGTACTGGTTGGAGCAAAACTAAAAGAACCGGAAATATGTGAAGCAAGGGGCGGTTGGAGTGTACAAACTGTAGAAAAGATGACTGGTGCAGAAATTGTTTATTTAACAGATTCGTCCAGCAGCACTAGCTCAATTTACGATGTTGGTGAAGATGAAACTGAAAATGGACAAGACACAGACGTATCTGTTCGTATGATTACACCCACTATTGAAGTTACTGATACAGAGAATTTCTTAAAGAAAACATTTATTTCTGATAATAAAAACAATATTAGTATTACGGAACAAAAATCAATTGAAGCAAAAAATGATCTTTCTTCGAAATCAGAAGAAAGTTTTAAGACAAATTATAAACACAAATCGAGTGTTGATGAAATCGATCGAAATCTACATGAAGTTGTTGTTTTAAGCACTGATAATATTAAAACGAATCTAACAGTGAAGGATGTTGATGAAATGGAAAAACCACAAGATACTATTAAAACTGCTGAAAGTCTAGCAGGCAAGTCAGAAAGCAATTACCCTATAAAGTCGGAGAACAGATCCAATTCATCAAAACGTTTTCATGATTACGACTTAGAAATGAAAGTCTTAAAATGTGAATTAAACGATGCTATTAACCATTTAATTATGGAAGTAAGTGATTCAGAAATCGTGAATGAAAGTTCAAAAGATAGTTTCACTCGACAGGATTCTTCTAGCAGTTTGTCTTCATCTCAATGTACAGCTATTTACAATCCTAATTCATCGCTCAATGATCTATCCAATAACGATGACTCGTCTCAAATAAGCAAAGAAATAAAAGATTATACAAAAGAATCAACTACAACTAGTCACGTCAATGATGTTATTGAACATATTCATACAAATTCTGCACATAACATAAAAGATTTAGATTCAGTGGTTAATCAACCACAAAGATTGCGGGATATATGTGTTGACAAAATATCAAGTTTTCCTTATGGATTGAAGATATTAGAAGAATTGGCCAACGTCTCTTTACGACTTCAAAGTATGAATAACCTTGCAACCGACGAAATAATAAACAACGACCTGATAGAAATAACTAAAAAGAAAAATTACGGTCCCATGGATACTTCCAATAAACAAACGTCGAACTATACCAGACAAACTGTGCAAAAACTAAAAAAATCAGAAGATGATTCTCCACCTCCCATTCCACCGCCTCCGATTCCACCTCCACCGGTTATACCTAGAAAGACATCGTTAAAGAAGTCTCAAGAAGGTCAATCACCTTCTGATGTACAGAAAGTGGAAGTACCTTATATTTGTTTATCTCCATCACAAAAAATGTTGATGGAAAAAACTAACACCGTAGTTACTAATATGGAAAAAAATTCACAAGAAAATATAAGCAAAATAAATGTGAATCGTCCGATTGGGTTAAAAAGTCAGCAGCAGTTCGAAAAGCCTACCATGCGCCCCTTAAAGTCAGAAACAGGATCTCGTTTAATGGCTTTAATTTCTGATCCTTCAATTACGAGTAATATAAAGTCATCGCTTAATAAATTTAACGATGAACAATCCCACTTTACCCAAAAGATTGAAGAAACAAAATCTTCTCGAAAATATAGTGATCCAGACCAGAGAAAATTTACTTCAGATATCTTTAAGCCAATTCCACCGCCACGGCCAAAAAAAATGTCATCTTCTTATTACGAAAGTGATGAAAATTCAGATTTCGCTGAAAGTTCCTTTAAAACCATGAAAAGTGAAAAGAGATCCTTCCATTTTTCTACCGGGAACTTAAATAAGGAGATCGAAGATGACATATCGACCATACAGAACATGCATAGAAATTACGTAAATGTACGAGATCAAAATATGGAAGTAAGTAGTCCGCGACGACCCTCTTTGCCGCAAGACTTATGCGATCAGCAAATGGAGTATATTCGTCAAAAAGAAAAAGAAGTAGAGGCTGAAATTCGACGTCTTGAGGAGGAAAAAATAAAACCGATAGTCAGAAAAGGGCCTAGAGCTCCTATGCTAACAGAAAAAGATATTAACAATGATACGTTATGGAATGCAAGACAGAAACACACCACTAGAGGAACGATATGGACCACTGGCACGATGGATAAAAGCAGAAAAGACAAAAATTCTAATATATTTAGTAGTAGTCAAGAAGAACTTCTACGGGAAAAGATGTATTCTGAATATTTAAACGAAATTTCAGAACGTGAACAAAGAAAACATCATAAAGTAATCAAAATAACTAAAACTCAATTACCATCAGACACAAGAATGATTTCAAAAAGTATGTCAGCTTTAGATGTCCTTGATGCACGAGTTAATAATAGAATAGAAGAAGAGTTTATATCAAAAGCAAGAGAAAGATGGAGCAAGCTCGGAATAAGGGATCCTGAGAGTGAAGATGAAAGGAACAACAAAACAAATGTGTATAGGGAACCTAAAGTGATTGAACATAAAATCAAAGTAATTGAAGCTGGTGAAGAAAAAGACGTTCATAATTTGCCCAATCATTTACAAGAATTTGTTACTTTCACTGCGGACAAGAACCAGGAGCCGGGAAGCACCGGTGAGTCAGAATCGGAGGAAAAATCCACGCATGTTGTGATTTTCTGTGCAGTGATGTTATTAGTGCTAGCGATTGGAAGATACATTTTGCGAATGATGAGAAACTTTAACTGAAATTAGAAATAATGTGCTATTAACCAGTGTTTAAGTTAAATTGTGTTTATTGCTATATGTGTAGAATTAAATGTTGTATTAGCATTGCATGAGTGTTTTTTCTAATATTAACTTAACAAATCCATTTCGTATTATAATTAAAAGAAATCATACATCAAAATTATTCGAACTTGAAGAAAATAATATTATCGTTAATAGGACAATTTCAATAAGGTGAGTTTTTAATACTATATAACATTATGAAAATTACTTGCAAGTATAAAATTTCAATATATTATAGATACATTTTAATACAAAGACAACACAACAAACACATAGTAGTTAATGTTTTTGCATTATTCATGTTTCAGACTTTGATCACAATATCGTTTGTTGACGGTGCCAAATTAATATTGCTTGTATGCATTAGTAGCAAATCTTTGTAAAACATTAATTTGCCTACTTAGTTTATTCATTTTGTGTTGAACAAAATATTGACAATATTAATAGGTTACATTTAGTAGTAGGTAATAAAAAGGTCACTTGATAACGGCTATATATTGGTATCTTACGAACGTTAATTTAAAGATAAATAGATAATAACTCTATACATAAACAGTAGTACTCATGCTTATGAACAAACAATATAGGCAGAGTTTAAGATCTTTTATTTTGTCCTATTTTTTATCTTTAAAAACAGAATTTTTAAAGAGCAAAAGACATTGGATAAAATTCTTAGTATACGTATTTCTTAAGCAGATAAAGTTGGCGACTTTATGCCACGGTTCCACTATATTTCATCCAAACCGTTGAATTTGCGCGACTCTCGACGCAGGCAGGAGCGTCGCCCGTGAAAATATTTGGACCGTCTATATCTGTAACGAATGGCCTTTACCGACTCCTAAAGCAAATGTGCGCGTTTGACAATTTCATTCTTAATTGTATTTTACTATGGTGCACATTTTTAATCGATTAGTTATGCCGTAGCTGTGATAGTTCAATAACACTGGGACTAGGGTTTCAAGCACTAAATACGACATGCGTTTTCGTAACGTCATCGATAAAATGTGTGATTTGAATGAGATGTGTATATTTTACTCCCGTACGAACGTATAACTTTATCGATATCGTTACGCACGAATGTTCATATTTGGCCCTCAGAAATCACACAGATTAACCAATCAATTGAAAAAAGTTACATTGGACTTACTGAAATAAGCCGAAAAACAGACAGCGGTTAAAACATACAATTAGATTAAAGAGTCGCAACTTCATTTAGGTTCTATTTGTTTGTACTTACGTTATTTTTTTCTCAAAGTCTGATTTTATTTTATTGTGGTTTATTAGTAAGTTACGCATAGAAAGCATGTTTTAACATGTATGAGAACTACTGAATTTTATATAAATGTCCATTGATAATGGTAACAAAAAGTTCCCTTTAAATTTTTACTTTGTATCACATCTGCATCTCATTTCTCGGATCATTTACCATCAGTTGTCGGTGTAACGGTGAACCTTTATTATATTAAAAGCATCGAGCAATATAATTAGTAATAGTACGGTTGATTGTAAACGGAAACTCTTTGTTATAGGCCGTGATTTAAACCAGTAAACTTCAGATTTTGTATCTGACGTTCCTCACTTTGACTCATACATCACGGTTTCAAATAAAACGTGTTTATGATTGTTCAGTCTAACATCAATTTTTAAGACTCGAAAAAAATTTGCTAATTTTACTGAAGAAAAAAATTATTTATCTCTGATGACACACTATCATGTATAAAACATGAATGCATAATGTATTTGAGACTAATATTATTTAAGTCAAAAGAAAGTAAGATTTCAATTTAGTAATATTTTTATTTTTAACACAAATTAACTACCACAATATAAAATCCGATTATAATGAGTGCAATAATCGAGCCAGATTTGCACTTTAAATTGTCAGTATTTCATTTAGAAATTCGTAATTGTACTAAAATAGATTCAGCCGTCAACAATCGGACACTGCGGTGGGCTGGCGTTACAAATCCACTGCCAAACTGTAGGTGTACACATAATGTACGACTATACTTGCTCTGACGTTTCATTCAGTCGTAAAGCCCGATGTTGTTGCAACGAGAAATTTAGATCTTGCTAGCACAAGCCTATAACCGACTTCCGTTTACGTCAAACCTATCTATTGGTAGTTCTGATTATGTACGGTCTGGACGAAGCTATGCAAATTGTATTTCGTTCTGGATTGTGATTTCTAATCTGTGTGCTAAATGTACGTAACAGGAAGATATTGTTCACAAAATTATTACGTTCCAAAAAGGTAAATGATTGCAAACAAAAATTACATATGGATGTTGATATTAGGTAGTGTTTTATAGAAGTATCTTTGTAAACAATTGTAAAAAATAAATGATACTCAGAGATTACCTTTTGGAAACACATGTACAAAATAATAATCTCTTTATTTTGATAAGAAGATGGATGAACATTTTGTTGCATTTGTTTCGACAGTGCCAAATCACGGTTACATCTAACACTTAAAACAAAAATAAATCCAGAACTGTAATGAGTCAACACAAGTAAACACGTGTTTTACCTGGTAGGTATTAAATATTTATTTTTCTTTATACCTTAAATGCTTACCGTTGACGACCCACCCGACCGTCCGTGACGGTCCGTGACCACTCAAGCCTTCACGATATTTGCCGTTGTTTTTTTTACTTTATCTTCCTGTTTATTCTCCGTTGTTTGAACATTAAATAGCACACGAAGTAACTAGGTAATGATATCTATAATGTGCTTAAAATCCATTCATGTTTATTTTAAAATCAATATATTTCATGCATATAAGTCAATTCCGCTTTTTTGATTGTGTATTCCGTCTTCGATACTTAGAATCGCATTAACTAAGAATGAAACAGGTAATATTGAAACGAAATATATTAGTAACCTGACATATTAAGCAAGCCTTCTTTTTGTAGGAGAGTTCATTTCGTAATCATTTTGTTACATAGTACTACATCAGACTTTAGATAGTATATTTTCCAAACGAGTGTTCGCTCGAGTCATCCAGGGGATAATTCGACGTATCGAGGGTACCAACAAAGAGCGGGATGTCAAAGAGCCCGCGGGCGCGCCGGAAACGATTTGACTGCGGAAGTGACGTCACGGTGGGGGAAGCGTTTGAACTTGTTAGGCTTGCGTATAGCTAGTGCATTATGTCGTTTACGTGCTGTACTACAAACCGCACGATACTTCCTGTATGCGTGTTAGAGAATTTTGAACTAGAATCTATCTAGGTCTTATCTTATGGTTTTAGTTTTACACAATACACACTATTTACAAATACAGAAATAATGACATTGGTAATGAATATATACACACTAATGAATAGTTGTAGTTTATTTTTCAATGCATTCTTAATACTTAAATGAATTTCTACACCAGAATTTTTGCATTCAATGAACTCTAGAATTTTTATTTGACAATTTGAATTTAAACTTTCAGTTCATTTTCGCTCCGAGGCAGTTGCATGATTGTTATCTTGTTGTTCTTAATCGGCACTGAAATAAGATTAACTGCGTACGTAAACGGAATTATCTTTATCAAAGTAAACGCAACAACACAACATGTAATTATAATTAAAACTTTGAATTAGATGCCTACGAGTACATTATATTCCTTGCTTTAGGTAGGCTTTACTATAAAAGGGACAGTGAGTTTGTTACCAGACTATGGTTACGTCCAGGTGTTTAATAAAACATATCAAGGCATTTTAGTGGGCCACAGATCTGATATAATCAACCAATAATGAATAATGTGAAAGTGCACTTAATCCAAATAACATTAGTGTGACATTCAATTTATAAAATATTATAAAAGATTGTTTACTGTTACGATTTTTACGTACAAATAATTTTACTAAAGTACACTTTAAACTACGTGTATGAATAATAATTAACCAGAAAGTATTAAGCAATGAATAGGTTACACACTTCGGATTAACCACAAAGCGGTGGTCATTTCATACCTTTGATCAACTTTTTACTTCTTAGCGTATAACTACCTATATTTATTTTACGCGCCATTTTATTATTAGTAAAGTAAGCATCAAAATTGATTGTTTATTGCTGCTGTTTTAATGAGGTCTCGTAATATTAAGCGTAACTTAATGAAATGTAACAAAATAAACTGTGCTCTTTGGCCTGACGCTTTATAATATGATGACAGTTAATATTTTATTATTTTAAATTTTAAAAATTAAATAAAATTAATTTATGGGTTCACCTGTAAGTTTTTCGTAATAACTTCTAAATTAGCGCCATCTATTTTACGTAAACAGAAACTTTGAGAAACGTTTGCTCGATCACCGCTAGGTGGCTATTGATTCTATTGTAGGAAAATCATAAAACAATAGAATTTAAGATATATGACCACCAAAGATTCATAGAACTATATTTTGATTTTATAAAAACGATATGGCAAAAGAAGATAAACTATTAAATTAAGTAAAATATTGTATAATAAAGCTAAATCGGCGATAGGTACTCCATCTATCGAGTTAAGTTACAAATATAGTATAAAAATCTTCAATTTACAACAATCTTTTTACTACAGGATTTAATTAGGTAATCATGTAAAATATTATGTTTAAAAAATAAATTCATGAGCAATAAATATTGAGTTAAGAAGTCAATGGTTAAGTAAATGAAATATATTCCAATATGATATAAATACACACAAATTCTTTTTCGTGTCATTAGGCTCAGCATTTTATGTGGAAATATAATCTTGGCAAAAGTGCTTTTAAGGTTTACGGCGTAGATCGTCACAAAAAAATAAGATTTCCTTACAATAGTAAGGGCCTTCATAAAAACTTTACAACTGTGGACCCACGCATCATAACGAAAT